TGTGTGTGTGTGTGTGTGTGTGTGTGTGTGTGTGTGTGTGTGTGTGTGTGTGTGTGTGTGTGTGTGTGTGTGTGTGTGTGTGTGTGTGTGTGTGTGTGTGTGTGTGTGTGTGTGTGTGTGTGTGTGTGTGTGTGTGTGTGTGTGTGTGTGTGTGTGTGTGTGTGTGTGTGTGTGTGTGTGTGTGTGTGTGTGTGTGTGTGTGTGTGTGTGTGTGTGTGTGTGTGTGTGTGTGTGTGTGTGTGTGTGTGTGTGTGTGTGTGTGTGTGTGTGTGTGTGTGTGTGTGTGTGTGTGTGTGTGTGTGTGTGTGTGTGTGTGTGTGTGTGTGTGTGTGTGTGTGTGTGTGTGTGTGTGTGTGTGTGTGTGTGTGTGTGTGTGTGTGTGTGTGTGTGTGTGTGTGTGTGTGTGTGTGTTTTTTTTTTTGTGTGTGTGTGTGTGTGTGTATGTGTGTTTTTTTCTTTAACACTTTGTATCCATCGCTGTAATGGTTGGCTCCAGTGAAAATGACAAGGTTGAGGCAGGCTAAAGATGAGGCTGAGAGAGAAGTAACAAATTATCGTTCATATATGGATACAGAATATCAAAATAAAATTTCCGAGGTAATATCTGCCAAAACATCATCATCATCATCTTACCATCTTCTTAATATATAGCAACCATAGAACATAATCAATCCTAGCTAGGATCTTCATTGACATCTTTCTATGTTCTCCAAATTCTCTTTTTACTTATTTAATCATTTATTAGAGCTGAAAAAATTCATCATTGTTATTGTCATTTTGGTGTGATGTATGTGTGTGTGTGTCTGTGTGTAGACAAGTGGGAGCTCTGGATCAACTGCAAAACAGCTTGAAGCGGAAACAGACAAGAAGATTAAAAATTTGAAGGAGACGTCATCAAGGGTATCACCAGAAGTTGTTGGGATGCTCATCAAGTATGTCACTACTGTCAAAACTTGATGCATCATCCATCGAGGTTAGTACTCTGCTATTAGTTCACATCCTTAACTAAACTCCGCCTTTCTGTTTCTGGGTTGGGTTAATCTAAGAACTAAACCAACTCAACTTACTTTAGTTCAATTTGGTTTGGTTACTTGGTTTTTTTTGGTTTGGTCACAAGAGAATCGATTAATTTAGTTTAATTATGGGTTCTAATCTTTTTTGAGTTGGCTCTAGATTTCTCTAAAAAAAATATGTGTACATATGATGTTGAATATTTCTTTCTTTCTTGTTTTCCATCGCAGAAAACTCAGAAAATTAGGAGATATGTAACTAAACTCCGGCTTTCTGTTTCTGGGTTGGGTTAATCTAAGAACTAAACCAACTCAACTTACTTTAGTTCAATTTGGTTTGGTTACTTGGTTATTTTTGGTTTGGTCACAAGAGAATCGATTTAATTTAGTTTAATTATGGGTTCTAATCTTTTTTGAGTTGGTTCTAGATTTCTCTAAAAAAAAAATGTGTACATATGATGTTGAATATTTCTTTCTTTCTTGTTTTCCATCGCAGAAAACTCAGAAAATTAGGAGATATGGAGAACAACGGGCAATAAAGGCGTAGGTATTGCAGACAAGATGCAAGAATAAGCATTTGTTGTCTCTTATTTATTTCATTTTCTTGATTCATTTGGTCAGTTCTATACCTACTGCTCCTCAAATTTCATTTTTCCACTACATTGTATAAAAGCTATTTTCAGTTTTGGATATTTCTCATTCTCTTTTTCAATATTGGATGTTAAAATTAAATAAATCAAATTGTGGCTTCGGTTGGGACTGGCAGCAACAGAATGGTCATGTTGGAGAATCCAATTGATAAGGTTATGGAAGTCTACATAAAGATAAGCTAAAGTTTTTTTTTTATTTATTTAAATGAATTATAAAAAATGAAAAATGTATCTCATTGTCTCTTATACCACCCAAAGTCAAACTCAAGACCTCAATAATTGAAATATATAAACTAAACTGGATGCCATCAAGTATTGGCTTTTGATACATACGTAAATGTGAGTGGATTCCATAATAACATTAATTGGCAATTTTTTATTGCATTTGGCTTGATTTCTTGTTAAAGCTTGATGTCATGCCAACATAAAGCCGTTGATATTCAGCTTAATCTGAAAGTGCAAAAGAAATTACTTTGGCTTTTCATTGAGAAATTCTTTTTAGCAAAAAAATACATCAACTCTCTATCTTAGCAAAAATAAAATTGATAAACCCAATTTTGCATCAATTCAAAGCACCAATTTGATAATTACTGGATGTAGAGTAGATACTACAAAACATGGTCTGGCATGTTTACATATACACAAAATTGAGGAGTGAGAAGAGCTTACCTCCAATATCAAGTTGTTCCATGGACTCCAACGTTAAAGAAAACCCTTTTGTTCAAGTTTCTAATATATATAAGCTTTCCGCAGATTGACATATCACTTCTCCACCTAACCATGTGATCGCCCCAAATCAATTGATTTAACAGAACCCCCCCGGATGGCACTTCTGATCTTATTTCTGCGATAATTGCACCAAATATCAAGAATCTGCAAAATAGCACCCATCTAACTGCCAGTGGCTTGGTAAATAAGATGCTGATTCAATAGCATTCAAGACTGTTTCCAAATAAAGATCTCAAATTTTAGGTAATTTAATGTCTCAAAGGTCAAAAGAAGTTTCGATTACTCTTGACCAACTTTCTCCAATGAGTTATTCAAGAAGAATCGTCCTTATTTATCCGTTTTATTGATGCCTTTTGGTATCTCAGTTTCTCAATCTCCTTCTCTAGAAAGTCCAGGGTTGTGTCGGTCACATGGTTTGGAGGACAGCCAGCATCCAACATCATCTTTAAGAACTTGTATGCATCCATTAATCGACCAGCCTTACTATGAACTTCAATGAGTGTATTATAAGTGACAACATCAGGATTTATCCCACTAGTCCTCATCTGCTCAAAAAGCTTGTTTGCTTCATCAATCCGACCTGCTTTACCCAGTGCATTAATCAGGGTATTATACATCACAATGTCAAGATAACCGCCCTGCTTCATTAGTTTATCAAGAACAGCACTGGCTAGATCTGCCTTTCCCATCTTCCCCAGGCCTTGAATAATCACATCATCCGTCGCGATGTCCGCTGGGCATACATTCTCACCCATTTCATGAAGAACACCCCAAGCCTCATTGAAATAGCCCCTTTTCACAAATGAGCTCATCATGGAATTGTAAGTGTAACTCACGGGGTTGACACCCATATTGGTGAAACTCTCGAACAACTTGCAGGCTAAACTGAGCTTTCCCTTGGCCAAAAATATTGACAAGTAGGTATTGACCATATCAATATCAAAAGAGTCTACACATTTCACTTGAACTCATCTTCCCCTAGACAGCGAGAACGTTTGAAAAGAATGGTCATTGGAGTTCACTTGATTGGCCAACCGATCCATATATGGGGATGACGACCACGGATCAGTGTCACTGGAAGGGAACTCCTGATCTTGTTGCCCATCAGCCTTTAAATCAGGGCCAATATCAATCCCCATGTCACATGAACTTATCAAATTCATGATGTCGCTGAAGTCACCTTTAGATGGGAACATAGGTGTGAAATCCTTATTTCTGCTCTGTGGGCTTTCAACATAAGCTTCCATATTGGCTTTCCACTTAAGCAAGGTTGGTACCAGATTGCCATCCCTGATGTGTTTCATGAGCCTCTCTGTCCACTCCCCACGGCCTTGCCTATGAAGCCCAATCAAGAGTGATGTTATGGTAACTAGATCAACAACAAAGCCTCTGCCTTCCATCTCCTCCACTAACTGCAAGGCATCCTCAATCTGGCCCTCCCTACAAAGGCACAAAATGACAATGCTATACGTAATCCCATCCACAAACGGTCCTTTCTTCTTCAAATCACAAAACAGTGTGTATCCGTCTACAGCTCTTCCATTTTTGAACAATCCGTCAATCAGTATATTGTATGTCCAACAGGAGGCCCTCACACCATCCTCAACCATTTTCTCGAACAGTTGGCATGCTTCTGTAAGTCTCCTAGCCTTGAGCAACCCATCTAAGAGGGAGTTATAAACAACATTATCGGGACAAAACCCATTGTGCTGCATCTCACTAAATCTTATTGTCGCATCGTCTATCCGATAGGATTTACAACAGCCTTGTATAATGATTCGGTAGGTGGAGGCATCGGGTTCGTGACCAGAATCCTTCAATTCCTCCCAAACAATAAGAGCATCCTTAACCTTCCCGGCCAAGCACAGAATGTGAATCAGGCTGTAGTATGTGCGCAAATCTGGACCAAATGAACCATCAGAGCCCTGACTCCTTTCCTTCATCTCTCTGAAGAAGCTCAGGGACATACCCAGATCACCCCAACACCCAAATGCATGAATGCATATATTGTAGCCCCATAAGTCCAGTGCAAACTGTTTCTTCTCTCTCAGTTTGTCGAAAACCCTAGTAAACTCATCCCTCATGTCTGCCTTCCTGAGTGCAACAAACAATTTGTTAAAATTGATGTATTATTGATTGATTGTATGTTGATATCTATTACAATGATTCATGATTCCTATATATAGAAGAGGGTGAGTGTGTAGTAGGTAAGGAGTAGGTGAAGTGGAGGTGGTAGTGGTGTAGTGGGTTAGGTTTAGTGGAGTAGGTGAGGTGGTAGTGGTGTAGTGGGTTAGGTTTAGTGGAGTAGGTTTAAGTGGGTGAAATAGGTGGAGAGTAGGTGGATTTTAACAGCCCCCGCAAACTCAAGGGGGATAGGAACTAACCAACTTGAGTTTGGAGAGAGTAACAAAACAAGAAAATATATAAAAATAAAAGAGGATAAGAGACACTGTATGGTCGTGTCAGACCATTGGTGAAGACACTGGATGGTGGTGTCATAATGTTGGAGAGGACACTGTATGGGGGTGTCATAACCATGTAGAGGACACTCTATGGTGGTGTCATAACGGTGTAGAGGACACTGGATGGCGGTGTCAGACCGATGTAGAAGACAATTTATGGGGTCATGTCGGACCGTTGTAGCAGACAGTTTACGGGGTCATGTCAGTTTGCCTAATTGTTTACTCTGACCTACCCCACTGCACCGTTACATCATCACTGTGTTTGTGAGCTGAAACTCTTTGAAGGGGGAACAAAGCTCTCTCAATAAGGAAGGACAAAGCTCTTAGTATCCCTTTCCATTTTTCTCTACCATCACTAAGATGAAATGCTTAGGGCATCTCCAACGGTTCACCAAATATTTTATCAAATTTGAGTAAAAAAAGTACGAATTCCTCTATCTGATGTCAGCCACTCCAATGGTGAATTTATAGCTGTCATCAAAACACTGGTTGTCCGGGAGGACGATCGGCCGGTTGACCGGGCAAGAGCAAATGAAAAAAAAAAAATGCACCAGCCTGATGACAATCAAGAGCAAATGAAAAAAATTTGTCTCTCTCCCTCTCAATCTGGATTTCCATCTCTGTATTTCTATATTGCTCTCTACACACACACGCATAACAAACCAGTTGAAACCTCTTCGTTCTCTGTAACATTCTGTAACCAACCCTTCTCTGAAACACTCAGCAACCCAAAAACATGGCTTCTTCTTCCCGTTCAGCTACCCAGAACATAGCCTCTTCTTCCCGTGGTCTGCTCACTCTCTTTCCCGACCTCAACGAGTCAACAAGAGAGATAACTGGTGCGGTGGCCTGTGAACCTCAACCACACACCTCTGGTTTTGCTCCGTTGAACTTTCCGATGCGGTCGGTGGAGCAAAAAATGGCAGTGCAAACGGATATTGAAGCTAATTAGTATAAATTGAAGTCATGTGTGGAAACCATGACTGCGGTTACAAATTTGTCGAACCGGCTGCAGAATAGGACAAATGAGGTGCAGCATTTAAACGCCCAACTGGCTCTGCTCCAACGCATGTATAAGGATGCGCGAGCAGAGATCCAGACTAACTCTGAGGGTGGTAACCCAGCGACCGAACTACCACGCTCTCCGGGACCGAGATAACAATGCACTTCTGGGACTGGTCTTAACTTTAAGTCCTGCTAGGACCGGACTGGATTTGAAGCCTTTCTACTCAGCCCTTCATACTGTGGCTCATAACGGCCCATTGTCCAGCTCGGCCCAATATTCATATATATTACCCTCTCAATTGCCCCTTAATTCCATCTGCATAGCATGATAGGGATTACTTGTTTTACCAGCCGAGCTTAGGTTTTTAAGCCTTTCAACCGAACTAAAATCCCTTTAGCTTTTCCAGTCGAACTAATTCCACACCGGGGTCTCCTTGTCCAGTCAGAACGTCTCTTCAATCACAGCAACTGAATCGCTTCTCATTTCCATGACACGTGGCATACGCTGATTGGCCCAAGGCAGCTGTCACGCCGTCTTCGTACTTCGTGAATTTTGAACAATTCCCGCCTCTGGTTTTTGCAACAAAACAAAACAAACCTATTCATTTTGAATCTCACCACACTGTTCATCTTCTCTCCTTTGTTCTCTCTCTTGCCTGCGTCTCCATTGTTTTGCATTTTGCGAAGCTTGCGTTTGTGGCTATTTTCTACTTCCCTTTCCTTCCTCTTACTTTGGTGAGTAACACAAACCCGTTCTATTTTTTTGGCTTTCGTACTTTTTTAGCCTATTACATTTGTTTTATGTGTTTTTGCAAAACATTTTTTACTTCCATTTTCTGCTTTGTCTTGCATCTTCTGCAAAAACTTAGTAATAGAGCCCCTCTGATTCAAGAAATAACATGAAAAACACTAGTGTTGATCCAAAATCACAATATAACCGAACTAGGAAGTTGTTTGTAGTGGAAGTCAGTCTAGCCGGACCAACCAACCGAGCTAACTCTTTATTGCTATATTTGTAGTTCTAACAAGCCAAGCCTTGAAAACCGTAACTATGCCCGAGCTGAATCTAGGGGCTAAACCAGCCTTCCAAGTTCAGACCGAACTAAGAAAGCTGCCCCTTGAGGCTCAACCGGGCTATCAAATGCCTTGCTCAAACCGAGCTAACAGACCCCTTGCTGAAACCGAGCTAATACCCGTAGTTCTTCACATAACTGAGATAGGACTTCATTTATTTTACCTTGATTTTTTTTAGCACGGTCCATCGATCTGTGCATAACCCCTTTCTTTTTTCACTTTGCAGACTTAGATTGCCAGGCACTCCTTCGTACGCTCAACCGAGCTACTCAGCGTCATTTTTTAACCGAGCTATCACAGTTAAAATTATACATAACTTAAGAGTAAATGGGTAAATATAGGTTTTTAGTAGAAACACCTGGTGGCCTGGCCGAATTCCGAAGGGAATATAACATTCCTGACGACGTCCACCTCACCTTAGCCGAACAAGACATCATACCTTGGGAAAACCTTGGTTTTGTTCCCTTCACCCTCCTTTCCATTGTAGAAACCGGCCTAAGATTCCCTGTACATCCCTTACTTTGTGAATTCCTTAGGCAAACTAGGATATGCCCAACTGAGTTTTCCACAAACTCATACCGCATAATAAATGGTATAGCCAAGCTAAACCGCCAAGCTGGCATTAACCTCAGCTTAGCTGAACTCTTTCATCAATATTCAATAGGATCAAAAGAAGATGGCTGGGTTTACTACCTAAGAATACGCCGTCGTCGAGAGAAAATAATAACGGACACACCGGATAAAGACTTGAAGGATGATGATTTCTTCTGGGTTTCTAGGAACTTCGAAGACCATGAAGCCCAGATTCCTGGTGACCGAATAAACTGGAATAAAAGAACCACCGGTATAATTACCTCGGCTCTATTGCATGCTTCTCTTTATTTCGGTCTCCTATTTCTGAACCGAACTAATCACTTGTCTTCTTTATACAGATTCAGCCCACCTTAAGTCATTATACAGTTACCCCAACCTAGGCACACTTCGCGCCGCACTACGATACCCTGAAAGAAGGTGGGCCAAACTACTGAATTTTGAGCCGACGTATAGATATAGCAGCCGACGAAAAGCCAGAGTAACAGATTTTTTGCTAGAGGCCTCTCCTGAACCGGACCCGACCTTGCCACAAATCAACCTAGTCCGTACTACTGCTAAAGAAGAAATGGCGAAGAGGAACAGAGTAAGGGCCCTCCTAATCGAAACCAACCGAGTCGAAGTACCACCGTCCAACCAAGCTCAGGAGACCGTGGTGGCCCTTCCATCTCAACAACCCTCTTCATCACGCCCAAGCAAGCGCGCCCGGACTACCCAAACTGAGCAACGCCTTGCTGATGAAGATGAAACCATCCTTCCACCGAGCCCTCCACCGAGCCCTCAGCCGAAGCGTTCTGACCGGGCTAGTTCCTCCAAGTGTCTCCAAAAATGACTTTTCAAAACCGCGCTATCCGTGATACTGACTCAGTGGTGGCTGACAAAGACCATATGCTAGCCTTCAATCTGGCTAAGAGTGTATGTCTGCCCCCTGATATGGAGCATCACAACCAGTTGACCGAGCTCAAGGCTATCCGGTCAGCAACGAAATCGATGATCCTGGTAAGTAGCCCTTCTGATCTCCCTAATTTTTCCAACTTTTTTTGCTCGGTCTAGTCAATAGTTTCTTTCCATTCTTTTTCAGGCCATGCAAAAGAGTCAAATTGCACACAAGCGTGTGTTGGAGCTTCGTAAAACAGCAAGACAAGCCATGGCCGAAGTTGAAGCAAAAACCACCGAGCTAAAAGACTCCTAACAGAGGACAACCGAGCTAGAGGCCGAGGTAACCCGTCTAACCGGACTAGTTACCTCGGCTAATGCTGACAAACAAAAGGCCCTGACCGTGACTCGAAGGAAAGAAAAATGCAGAGATCGCCGAGCTAAAAAAGAAGGCGGATGAAGCGAATGCTGCAGGTTTCAAGGAGGGGGAGGCCCTTTACATGCAACAATGTGAGGCAGCTAAGGATTTGTTCTTCAAATGCGGTTGGAGGGAGGCCGTGGTGCAGCTCGGTCATGGACCCGAAGCCGAGGTATTCAATCCTCCTTCATACTTTATACCGAGCTCACTAGCGGAGTACAATGCTACCCTTCAGCAACAATTCCTTGAGGGTTCAGATGATGATGAAACCGAGCCTAACGACACCCCGGTCGTCAATGATCCTGCCGATCAGTTAGCTCGAGCGGAGCCCACATTGTGGAAGACCGACTACTGAGCAAACCAACTGATACTCGTGCTCCAACAGAGACGATACTTCATCGAACGAAGCGAGCTCCCATCTGAAACCGGTCTCTCGGGTTGAATGTTGAATGCTGATCTGACGCCGAAATAGATGATCCTTTTTAACTGATTTGTATTTTCTTTTCTTTCTGCTTTTGGACAATAGAACGCGGCTTGGGGGCCCTTTCCTTTGTATTCGCTTGAAGCTTGCCGAAATGAATCTTCTTTTGTTCAAACTGTATTTTCGGTTGGATCTTTATGTGCTTATACTTTACTTTCTAACTGATGTCTTTGCATGAGGTCCGCATTCCTTGCCGAGATACTTTATCTCGGTCTTAAC